TAAAGCCTGTTGAAAAGTCTTCATATTTAAAACATTATCTCATTTGTACAATAAACCTTGTAGCATGGGCAGAGACTCAAGGCCATGATTCGAACCAAGTATTAGACTCAGGTCTGCCCTTCTTGACCATACCAGACAGTGGTACCCTCTGCAGAACCCTGGATAGTTGAAAACCTCTCCTGTAACATCCTCTTGATTTTCAAAAGAGGTTGTGTCTGAGATGTCAGTCCTTCCTGGGGACATGGTGGTAACTGAAAATAACAAAAAGGCTTCCAAATGAATGTACTCACTCATCAAGGACAAAGAAGGAAGGTGTCATGCACATGCTTTTACTTTTTAATGTTGTTAACTACGTTTATTGGATTATAAAATAATTATAGGCTCTTCATGGAAAATGTAAGGGGAGTAATTTTTTTAATCTCGTGCATTAAAAATATATATATCTTTAGGTGCATTTTTTTACTCCACCCATCAGGCAAAGTTTTAGCAACTGGCCCAAAACGAAATCTCTGGGGATTCCCATGTAAAATGTTGATTGGCATAAATATGAAATTTCTTTTGTCCTCACGCTTACGGTCTCTCTGAACTGCAAATGCCAGTGGGAGAAATAGGTATCATAAATCCTTCAAGTAGGATGCCCAATAAATGCTAGGTAAGAAAGAAGAAGAAAAAAGAAAAATATTCCAAGTGCTGCAGTAATAGCTGCCATGACCACTGCTCGTGGAAAGTTCTGATGGTTTACAGTTGTCCAGAGAGAGCTAGAAATTGGCGCCATTGATTCTTATGAGAAGATGGACTTACTCGTGAGGTTGATATTTGGTATTGTCCCTTTGTCCCTCTCCTGCTTAACAAATATCAGCATGAAGGAACCTCGGAGCAGGAGACAGAAGAGGTACTACATGGTCATATTATCTGATATCCTAACTGTCAAAGAATAGATCTTCCACCTTAAAACAAAATCGAAAACCTCTGTGACAATTTAGGGATAAAATGAAGACTCCCCTCATAAACTGACTTCCCTTCTTTGACATTTCTATTATCACTAATTTTCTATAATGTACAGTAGACCTTGCTTAGCAACAATAAAAGTACCCATGTTACAAGTTTAGTTTTATATAACACTCCATATGGTGGATTCATAATAAATTTCTACTGGGAATACAATCATAAACCACTATTTTCTGCTATAAAAAACTATTAAAGCACAGACATGCACAAACAAGGTAATCTGCAATAAATTTAGAGATGTTAAAATACTACAAATGTAAATGTCTTCAGCCCCATTGCAATGCATGTAATTTCCATAGCTTTATTAGAAATCTTGCCTTTGCAGTGGTTTGGCGATAGGTTATAAATATAGTAGGAATGAGTCAGCGTGCAAATCCCTTCTGTGAAAAAACAATTTGAAAGGTTTTATAGCCCAAAGCTGTTTATTATTTTGTAAGAATAGTAATGCGAGTTTGTGTTTGGAACCTGCTGAGAGGAGAATTCTCAAAACATCCTGTTTATAAAACAGCAAGGGAAAAAAAAATCTCAGCAAATCAGAAAAAGAAAAACAACATTTGATTTATGTAAGGTCACAGAAATAGTATTTCCCAAATAAAGCATTTAATTGATGGGCTTTTCTATGCATACATTAGGATTGTACGAGAGATGATCAATAAATCCCACCGAGAAAAAGGGAGCAGTGGTAGCCAGACACATTCGAATCCTGGAGGCAGGTAAGTAAATCTCTCTCGAGATGAGAGGAGATGTGGTGACAAAAGTGAAGACTGAGAAGGGGACTAAGGATAGAACTGTCAGAGACAACTGCAGTGGGGCACGGTGTGAGGGAGAGGTGCTGGCGAAGCTGGGGACCCCTGAGGTACAAAAGCACCTGAGGCCACGGCACATAGGCAGCGAAGGAGAGTGTAAGGAGGAGGGTCTCAAATACATGAGAAAACTCAGGAAGTACGAGGATCAAGAACAGATGGCTGGATGGGGGAGTCAAAAGCTCATCGTAACCTTCCGAGGACCTGGTGGGAAGCAGAAGCCTGCCTTCAAGGACATGAGGACGGAGTAGATGGTACTGGTGTGGAAATTACAGAAAGAGGCAACTTTGTTTGGGGTGGAGAGCTTGTTAGCTTGGGTACAGGTGGAGCAAGGAAGGGTCTCTTAGGACAAAAAAGAGCTGGGGAGGTTTATAGTCAGTGGAAGGGGCAAAACTAAACATACAGGAGACGAAAGTTGTTCCTCAGAGGGTGAGGCGCAGGCAGGAGATCTAGAAGTAAGTCAAGGACATGGGAGGAAGGATTCGTTTAGACTAGAGGAGGAGCAGTTAGGCAGAAAGAAAGGGCAGGATTGTAAAGAGGAAGAGTATCTGCAGAGAGTATACAATGAAGGAAAGACAATGAAGCCGAGGCCGCAAGACCTTCACGCAGCTTCAGGAAATTTAGAAGCAAACCCTACTTCTGACTTTCTAAATGAGCTCATTTTAAAAACATGATCGTTTCTTCGTGAGCACACAGTGCATCTTGTGTATGTGTGAGGGAGCCAAAGACTATAAAAGATCCCAAACTACCTAAACACATGTGCATGCAGTCTGGCACACGTGTGCATACACACACACACACACACACAGCAGAAAGGTAAGCCCATTCCAAAACTAGGTATCGTTGTTTATTACATTGTTCACTGTACTGACCACTGAATTTTCCCAATTTCTCCTTTCCCCTTCAGAGGTTCTTTCTGTAAAACTCCTGCCCATCTCAAGCAGAATGGAGCCAAGCACCCGCCACACTGTCTAGAATGCGTGTGAGTGCGTCAGTGGGAGCGTCTGTCGGCGTAACCAGGGCATGTCAGCACAGGTCCAGGAATGACACTTCTAGCTAAAATAGATTATGGAAGCCCAGAAAATTTAAAAGCATTCGAAGACACAACATTAAAAAAGGAGGGGAGAAACAAGTTTATTTCCCGAATGGAAAGAATTGGTGCTCCTGCTTGTCTGGCTCCGTGAAGAAAGGAGACGGTGTGACCATGGCCGAGGGGTGCAGAGGGATGCTATTTCAGGAGTCTGGCCGAAAAAAGAAAAAATTTTTTTAAAGAAGCCATTCTTTTATATAAAGAGGAAATTGGAGAGTATTTTAAGGGAATAGAAAAGAACACCAAAAGCTCTTTTAAAGAGAAGAAAAATTTAATGGGAAGGAAACAAAGTAGTGACGTGGGTAGTCACAGAAAATTATTTTAGGGGAGAGAAAACCAAACATGTGAGCAAAAGGGTAACCAGAACTCACAGAGCTATTTTGAGAGTGAAAACCAAGTGAAAAATGTCAAGTATAAGATTATTCTTACTTGACATTTTTATACAGCCGCAACTTATAAAAACATCAAACACTGACATAATCCTTCCTCGAGCATTTTAACACATCATTATATTGTTAACAGTGTCAAATGGCTGTAGCCATTCATGTGACTTTTAAATAGATTACTTTTATCATAAAAATGTCATTTTGGGGGATAATATGCATTCTCACATTTTTATGTTCAGCTATGGTCTTAAAATGTCAAATAAAAGAGATATCCATGTTTGTAATTCTTGGGGTCTTACTACAGATCTCGAGAATATCAGTATAAAATAAGTCTTAATCTGATATGGCTTCTGTGCTCAATTCATTTTTTTTCAACAACTTCTCTCCTTTGAAAAATAATTACAAAGTACCTGTATTAGGTAAAGATGAGATTGTGGGTTAAAGCCATAATAGGCAGGAAATTTCTAGTGAAAACTGCATGAAAGGCATCTCACAGCATGTTTAGTCACCCAGGCTCACACTCTCATAGGCATGATTATATAACAAAATTTGGTCAAACCTGTTCAGTTAGCAATGATGGTCATCTCACTTCTGGGGGCCAACATGTGCCCAATGTCCAACCAGATTTCTTTGACCATTCCTCCTAAATGTGAGGATAACAAAGCAATTAAATGATATACCAAAATCAGGCAAATCAGCCACAGAAGGGGAATTAGAACTCAATTCGGTCCATAGTCTAGTGCACAGATTAGCAAACTTTTTCTGTAAAAGGCCAAGTAGTCCATATTTTAGGCTAGTAGGCTACATGGTCTTTGTCACAACTCTTCAATTCTGATACTGTAGTGCAAAAGCCAACAGAGACACACATATAAACAAATGGGTGTGGCTGTTTTCCAATAAAACTTAATTTACAAAAACAGGAACTAAGCTGGATTTGGCCCTCCAGTTGTGGTTTGCCAACCACCGATCTAGTGGGTCAACTCACATAATCTGTCAAAGATTGCAGCTCAAACCTCAGCAAACACTAATTTCATATAAATTGAATGTTAGTGAGATCTTACCAGATGCCAACCACCATGAAATAATTTATATAAATTAATCCTATTCAGTAAGACATTATCTCCATTTTGCAGATGATGAAACTCAAGCTCATGTGAATTATAGAAGGTCTCTCAGCTTAAAGTGAAGGAGACCAAATTTGAAAGTAGGCAGCTGGATCAAGGCTTATGATCTTAACCACTTCCCAGTGTTCAATGCATGTAACTTATGGATGCTAAGAAAACATGAAGCCATAAAAAAATGGGCATTTCCCAGAAAAGGGATTGGAGGAGTGATGTGTACTCTGTAAACTTACAGAACTAGAGAGGGAACACTCCTAGCGGCTAGATATCCTGAGCTGGTCCCATTCTGTTCTATCTATGAATGTGCTACTTGCAAACCCACCATCGCCACACTGGAGAATGAGACCTACGAACTAAATTCTCCAGTCTGCTGATGTCCAGGCCATCAGAGGCTCTCAGTTGTCACTGGGAAAGGCCCTGGACTAGGGCAGCAAGAAGAAACATGGTATATGAGTTTAAATCATTCGCCAAACTGGGAGAGAATCCACCTTGTTATGGTCACCTGCACAAAGACTCGCACCCTGCACTTCTCAACTTCATCTTCTGTCGCTCCATGGCCCCATGAGAATGAATGAAAAACACACTTTCAACATAGATGGAAACCAAGATATGATGCTTCTAGTATCTGCTGTGTGCAGGGTGCATTCCCAACTCACAACATCCTCCAAAATAGGCAAGTATTATTTTGTCTTCACAGATGAAGGAAGATGGATCATTAAGACTCTGAATTGTTAAGGCCACAGAATAAGGAGATTCTCAATCCCAAAACTGCTGAGTCAGCCCCTGGGCCTCTTTCCTCTCAGGCTGTCTTCTAATCTTCCAAAGTGACACGCAGAGTGATAGTCTGAAAAAGCAAGTCATATCAGTGTCATTATACAAATATAGATGACTTTATTCAACTGAGGACACTGGAAAAGATCATTAGAGCAACCCAAATCTTAAATGGTCTCCTCATTATGGGGAATTTCAAGCAGACTATTTATCATAATAAATAAAGTAGGAGAGAACTTTGGTTAAATTATTGCCAGAGGTCCAGAACTTACAAGTTCTGCTATCAACCCTTTTCAGCCAGAATTATCTCCTCAGGGACGCTTGGATGCCTGTGGTTACATTACATCCGAGCCAGTTCTTGACTGGGAGGTCACAGGAAAAGGAGGGGAACATTTAAGCTCAGACTCTCCTGTATCATTTCCCATCATTGCTCAGCAGTCTCTCTTTGCCTACATGCCCCAGCAACTCCCCTCACTCCTACACACAAGGCAAAGAAGGCAAAGTGAGGTCTTAATTTTGTCAATTAGATTTTATTTTTCTATTAAATATTGACTCAAACCTCTAGTGTAAACAGAGTTGTTGGGAGCTGGATATGAATAACTGAGAACAAATATTGTCCCAATTTATAAGAGACAGTTAAAATTTTGTATCATTTCTCCTTAGAGCAGATGTAGGAGCTGTTTACCCACACACGCGCGCACGCACGCGCGCGCACACACACACACACACACACTACTTTCTCTAGTTTCTTTGTTGAATAAGAAAATGTCTAATTTACATGTAAAGCCCACAAATTATAGCCGTACCAGACAAGGAAGCAGATGAAGATTGTGATTGATATTCCAAAATTTCCGTCCTGATTTCCCCATCCTCAGAATTAGCCACCCTATAAATCAAACCGACATACGAACATCGGATGTCAAAACCAATAGGTCACATCTGTGAAAAACATCAGACACATAAAAAACTGGATTCTTCTGTTTTCTCTGAAAAAATACTGCCCCCTCCACTATCCCCGTCACCACTTCCACCAGTGTGCTTTAAAATACCCTGTCTCTTTCAAGAAAATATCACTTTCCTATGTGTATTATTCTCAATAATGGCCATTTTTTATTTCTACTTGGTTGTGTAAAAGACTAGGAATTGGCACAATTTCTCATATTAAGCCTGAATGAAACCTTGACTGTTTCTAGGTAAATAGTTATTATTGAGACACACCTGTGTACACTGTCAACCAGGAGCCTAGTAGAGATGGACATCCCCCACTCCTTAAGAGCATTTCTGTTTCTGCTGCTCTGGGTTAACATACCTCAGAACTGAAGGTGCAGACTACAAGTCCAGGAGTTGCAAGAATTGCCTGCTACTCTTAATCATTGCACAACAGCCGTGCAACCTTGGGAGCATCACTGTGACTCAGGGCCTTGGGTCTTCACTCTCCAAGAAGCTCCAAGCACAGATGCTGCTGCTGCTTTCTGCTGTATGAGGGCAACGCTGATGACTCACAAGCCCTGGGACATGTGTTCTGAGCTCTTTTCCACATACGGTGATGGATTTATAATCATAAAATGTTTAGAGCTGAAAAAAACCTCATGGACTATCTCAACACAATTCCCACGTACAGCTAAGGAATCTGAGTAGTGAAGAAGGTAAGCGGCCTCTTCGAAAACTTTGTGGACAAGCTGTCTCAGTTTCCTGATGCCCTTTCTCTTGGCTCCATTTTCAGCTGAGTCATCTGTACGCTCACAAGGTCTCTTTGGTGACTCTGACACACACTTGCCAAGTGGCTGCTGAGGACAGGAGAAGCCTCTGGCTGCTGGAACAACTTTAGTCTTCCTGACACTAACTAGTCCCTGCAGGGCTGATTCATGGCTCATCTCCTACCGCTTGAGCCAAATGACTACAGCACGTTGCACATAGTAGGACCTCAACAGAATACTTGTCTAGTGAATAAAATAAGCTCATCAGCTCAGAAGATAGAGCCACATGGTTTACTTTGTGGTTATAAAAAGGTGAACATATTACAATGTAGCACACTGCAGAAATGAATACGGGTCTTTCCCCAGATCAGGAGGCTGTGAGCCATCATGAACCACAGGGCCATAGTGGCCCCTCACTCTTTCATCGTGTAGCTAAAGGTTCACATTATGGGAGAATTTAATGAGGTGCTCATTGAATAGAATTGAGATTTGGCATCAAAGACATTAGAGAACCTTTAAGACCATGCTCTTATTTTATATATTTGGGAATCACAGATTTGGAGAACTGATGGAATCTGCCCGAGGGGCCCCTGCCTCGGACCCAGCTGTCTTCACCATTCCAGGCTGCTTCCCACATGCTAGAGGGCTTTTGCTCACGAAACTTGATCTCCACAACATGGCACCAGCATGGGGTCGGCAATCTGGGCTGCAGCACCAACTCTATAGGTAGTAATTAACACACAATAACAAAAATAAGCAGAATGAGGATGATGGCATGTAATTTCATTACATGAGTGTTTATTATATGCTGGGCTATAATCTTAGTGCTTTACATGTACAATCTTGTTTAATAATATTTTCGTGTAAACTAATTGGTCAGTCTACTTTCTCTTTCCAAGACTTTGATTTTCACTGAGATAACAGTTACATCACAGGGTTGTTGTGAAAATTAAATGAGATGATGGACACAAATGCAACTATACAACTCTAAAGTAATTTACAAATATCCCTTATTATCCTTGTTACTGAGGTTCCCTTCCTCCCAGGGGACTTCCTATGCATATCGGCATCAAGAACCAGTGAACGGAGGTGTCTTTACGAAATAAAATAAAGTGATTAATCAAGGAAAAATGCTCATAAAGAATATACATTTGATTTTTAGTTCCAGGAAT